CCCCAAAACCCCAAAACCCCAAAACCCCGGAGAGATAATAATTGAAAATAGGGAAAGTAAAAAAAGTTTATATATTATTCATAAATTAAGACAAATAAAATGCTGCTTAAGCTAACGAATGAAACTAAGAATGACCAAGATAATTGGACATCAGAGGACTAGAAGGAATTCTCAAAGTATCTTTAGTAAAAGAAAAGAATGAAATCCTAGGGCTAGATTCACAAAGCAAGGACTATTGTGGATCTCCAGACGAATATGGGCAAAGGTCCCAAGAAGATTAGAGTCAGCCAAAATTCAACTGAAAGATAGTCCTCAATAAAGCCAATACATACTTCTAAAAATTATGTGCAAGAGCTGAAGTAGTAACTGGACTAACTAGTCTTTGAGACTAATTTGAAGCAGAACAAATTTTCAAAGTTAGAAAGGGAGTACTTGAAGATTAAAACCTAAAGAAGAGATGTGTGCACACCCTAGGTGATTGAAGAGAGAAATTTCACTAGCAGCAGAATGAGTTTGAGATCTAATCAAAGTTTCTCTTAAAGCAGTCTGGTTAAACACACCTCTGCAATCTTTGATAATGAGAAGTTAGAAGCAAAGATTATAATGATATTTGGATTAATAGATGATGCAACTGAGAATAATAAATGGCAGAAATTCGACTAAGACACCTTAGAGCATCAGGTTGAAAGGTTAAAGATTCAGAAGAAGTTTGATGAGACCAAGATTTTCCAACTCATGCCTGAGTATAAATCAATGGTTAGGCTAGGAGAGAATACTGAAAGACTCAAATTTTTGGCTAACTCATCTAACTTAATAGCACAAAGTGGCATAATTTAGTGTTATTCAAAGATGCAGGAAAGAGTTGAGCATAGACTTGAAAAAGTTGAAGAGAAGAACTCTATATTTAAGGAAGAAGAGGAAGTAGTTTCAAGACTTAAAGCAGAGAGAAATTTGGTTCGCAAAATGATCTTTGATTAGAATAAAAAACTAAAGAAGCTCAAAAATATAAGTGAAAGACTAAAGCTAACAGAAGATGAGAAGCAAGAGATAGAGAGAAGAACTAAAAAGGATATAATGTGCATAAGATCATTTCAATCATCTATGATACTCAGAGATTATATGAATCATAGGCATGATTCCAAACTTGGGTCAAACTCAAAAGACATAGAGGAGCTAGAAGAGATATTCAAAGTTTTCAAAGGCTAATACTATCAGACCTTGAGGCATGAAATTTTAGGAAATATGCAGTCACATAATACCTCCTTTCTCGATATGTCTCTAACAATGAGCTCGCCAAACATTCTCAACTCATCTTAGAGAGTGAGATCAGCTCATAGATCACCTGATAAGCATCACACTAACAAAACTTCAATTATGATTCAGCAAAATCAGCCATAGTCATTGAGTTAAAAAATGAAAAATTTCTTTAGAAAGAAAATTGAACTTGAACTCCGAATAAGAAAGTGGAAAGAAATCGAAGGGAATGAACCAGATTCAGAACATCTAATTGACTAATTCTCTTTATGCATCTTTAGACTTAATTCGACGAAGCAAAGATTTGAAGACCTCCAATAGGAAGTTAAGGAAAAGTAACTTACATTGAATGAGCTTAAAACGTAGCTTACGCAGTAAAGAGCTGATATGAAGTTTCTTCAGAGATCCAAAACCACTATTTCAAAAACAGAAGAAGAATAATTGATTGACCCAATCGAAAAGCTAACCGTGAACTAACTAATTGAAAAGATAGAATATACATAAAGAGTTGCAAATGTTTAGAGTCAGCACCAAAAGTTACAGAAATATAAACTAGAAATAGATGCATTGCAGACTGAAATTCTTGTGAGGGTTTGCTATAGACTAAGTTAACTTAAAGGAGTTGCAAATGAGCATGTTTAATTCGACAAACAAGCTGCAGAGGTCATCAAAGATTATGATCTTGTGTCTAAAGCATTCGGTCTTGACATTCACATGAGCGATGACGAGAAAGATAAAGATGTTAATAATCCAAACTTACTAAGTCCGCAAGGTTCGAAGGAGCTGGAAAATAATGAAGATAACTCAATGATGAAAACTATGGAGCAAAAGAAGAAGAAATTCCTGAAAAAGCAAAACTTGAATGGCTCACTAAGCAGGAAATCCTCTAAAGTAAAGCATCAAATGCCACAGAATTTTGATGTGATGAAATTCTTAAGAAAAGTGCTTGCAACTAAAGTTGAGGAGACAGATGATCACAACAAAAAGATGTTCAGCAAAACAAAGATTGTTATCCATCAATGCAATAAGCTGCTTTCAGATCTTGCAGAAGACTAAGTTCAAATAACTGAAGATCAATAAGCTGATAATTATAGCAAGTATTAGAAGTTAATTCATGAAGCACTGAAAAGAAAGTATGAGATGCAGCAAAGGAATTCTAATATGAATGCAACTTTTCTTTCATAAGATGATGAATAGCCCATACAAAAAAATGCAAATTCCTAGACAAAATCTTAAAATTAAGCTCAAATGCACCCCTTCAATAGGAAACAACAAGAGGAAGTCCTATCAACTGAGGAAGAGTCAAAGATCGAGGTTGATTATTTGAACACTACAAGAGCAGACACCAAGACCTAACTTCTCATAAGACAAAGTTAAATAATGGAGAAGAAGGCTAGCACTCCGAGACAATAGCAATAATACGGTAAATAAGTTCTAAGTTATGATCAGGAAAAAGCTGCCTACCAAAAAGAGGTAAAGAAGTACAGGAATGTGATGTCAAATCTGGAAAGAGCAGAGACCATATTTATTCAGAAGTTTAAAAAGGGCTAGGATGACGTCTATCACTCGATAATGAACCCAAATAGCATAAGAACTCACAAAGTATCCCTCTACAAGTTATTCGATAAGAATAAGAATAGTCTGATATCTAATTCACTTGGAGGAGGGAAGCACCAGGCCAGTTCTTAGAAGCAACTTCCTAAGAATTCTACGCTAGACAACATTCAACAGAAGAAGCCTTTTGGTGCAGAGTAATTGGAGACTATCTCTACCTAAATCAAGAGACATGAAAAAGTACTATTCAACCTGTATGGTCAAGGTTCAGCTCTAATTCAGTCAAAATCTCAAGCAAGGCCAAAGACAGCTAGAAATATCATTAAAAGCACTATGAATCAATCACTCCTAAGAGAAACTTTGGTGTTGCCAGTTGGAAATAATCCTAAGCACAGTAGAGACAGATCAATAAGCTATAAAATAGAGTATGGATATGAAAAATCTAACTTTGGAGATTATATTGACAAAGAAGGGAACTTATAACAAAGATCAAAACCTATTAAGCAGTTCAAGTTCCCTCTTGATTTGGTTAAAATTAAGACCTACTCTAATGCGAAATCTATTTTCAAGTAAAACAATTTCATGACTTAGAGAACTCCAAGGGCATCGATGATACCTCTAAGACCAGGCACAGCTATTATCAGAAAATGAATTAGATTTAAATATGTTCTTTATAAGATTCTTAATTTCATAAGTCAAGTTTTAATGTAGAATTAATAATGGTTAATAAACTGCCAGGTTTATTAATTCAGTTCATTTTTTAAGAAGATCCTTGAGGTTCTTCTTTGGGTCAACTTCAAATGGTCTGGAGTTGACCTAAGGAATTATTGGAAGTTTTGACTCACTGTTAGTGGTTTGAATCCAGTCATTTCCATGGCCGCCACCAATGTAGTCCATTTCAGAAGCTCCATCAATGCTAGCACCTCCTATTCTATCTCCCCTTTGAGAGATTCTTCCTTTTTGAATAGAATCGTTAAGCTTGTTTCTAACTCTTGAATTGGCTAGAGTTTTGCCACTCAACGCTCTCTGTTCCTGCATCTCTCTTTGATAGTTCTCAGGTGAAAGGAATTAAGCCTCTAAAGGAATTTTAAAAATGTCAGTCTTAGTTATCAGTTGCAAGGTGTCCTTGATTGTGCATTCTTCATTAGACTGAACTGTGACAGTTATCTTTCTGATCATACCTGGAGCAAGTGCACCAGTGTCAAGTTGTTGGAATCTGATTCTTCTATCAGTGAATGGTTTAATTGTGAATCTCTGAGCAATAGAGTCTTCATTTTTGCAAGTTATAATCAGTTCGTAAACAGCTTCACCTGCTTGTACTATGCCGTACCTAAGAGATGATGGCAATACATTCAAAGATCTTTTCAAAGGATCGTGGAGAACACTTGTCACCATTGAGTTGGCTTAGTTAATAAGTTCTGCAAAAGTCTGTTTCTTGTTAATGGCAGATAGGATCATCTAGTGCTGGCCTTGCTTTCTCACATCTTCAATTGATGGAGCGTTGATGTACTGTCTTGGAGCCATTGAAGAAATTTTAACTCTGCGATCTGCAATACATTCGGTTGTAATAAACTTTTCATTTAGCTCTGACTAAGCTTGAGATTTTACGATAGCTTTGACGAATGGCTTTTCTTATCTGAGTCTGCCAATTACGTTGAAGTCTTTCGTCTTTACTACATGATACTCCTCTGACTTCAAAATGTGTTCCTGTTCTCTTTGCTTCAAATAGATCTTCTCTTGAATGTAAAGACTTGGCTATGGTCCGCCGGAAGTACCGTCTTAGGTCATCATCTTCTTAGTGCCCATAAAGTTAGATCCATTTTGTCTGTAGTTATCTTCTGGCTCAAGAGCAACAATTGGAGATTCTTTGTCGTCTCCCCCATCATTTTGCTGCTAGTACTAGGGATCATTTGTAGCATTCTAGTTCTCTGGGCGTTACGATTGCTCGTACTAAGAATTAGCCTTGTCTGAGTTGTGTTGAGATCTGTTGATTCTCTGAGACATTCTCATTATCAGTTCTTGAGATGGCGGCTTCTATGGATTGTTCTACATTTAGATTAATTCTTGGCAATATCTTACTTTAGGAACTCAATCTCCATTTATTTGTTTTTCAGGCTAAGTTTTGCCTAGACTGCTAATTATTAATAATCTTATGTGCCGTTTTTAAGTTTTTCAAATTGAATTTGCATATTTGTCAAAATCACATTAAGCTCATCAGTAATAGATTTAGTCTTCAGTTATTCTTGATTCAGTTCTAATTACTTAAGATCAAGTTCTTCTAGCATCAATCCATTTAATTTTTCAAGATAATCATAGTAAATCTAGGAAATCTACTAGCCAAAATCTTAAAATACTTCAAAATGGTATTATCTTTAGTCTTAAACGATTTGTATTAATTTCTCATAGAGATTTGATAATTTTCTATTAAGTGCCATAATTTACAAGGTAATCTGCTGAATGTCTGACTATTCATTAATAGGATCTTTAAATTGAGATTGCAATCTATTCAAGATGCTGTTGTCTTATTAACCATTTAGATGTTAAATTTTACATTCAACATCAACAATCTCCAAATTTTGAATTTGCAATTTCTCTTCTAGTCTTTAAAGTATAAATGCTGATTGTTATTTAATTGAGTTGAAATTCTTATTGGAAATATCCATGTCTTTGCTTATGCTTTTGTATTCATTAATTTTTGCTTAAGCTCTTTAAAGTTTTTCTTTGAACTAATGAATTTCATTTATCACTGGGTATTCTCCTTAATCATCATTTAGATTTTTCATTTCAAATTTAAATTAATTTATTTAAACTTTAATAATTATTATTTTTGATTATTTTACAATTCAAAATTATATTACGGGGTTTTGGGGTTTTGGGGTTTTGGGGTAGCCTTGTCTGAGTTGTGTTGAGATCTGTTGATTCTCTGAGACATTCTCATTATTAGTTCTTGAGAAGGCGGCTTCTATGGATTGTTCTACATTTAGATATTTAGATTAATTATTAGTTTACCTTAGTGAATTATTATCCTTCTTTGCTTTGAAAGTAAGATGGCATAAAAGTGGGGGTATTAATCATTCTTCTAATATCCTGGAGTTAGTTCTGAATGTTAATTTCTTGCTTTTTCTTGATGTTCCTGATTTTCTCTTAATTGACGCTTTCTTGAAGCATGTGATGCTGATTGTACTGCTGATGATTGTAGCTCTAGGACTGATCTACATTGTTGTTGTTTCTGTTATAAGGTCCCTCACTGAAATCTCTGTCTAACATAGAGTTTCCTCTTCTGAAGAACTAGTTAAATTCCTCATCATGGCTGGTTGAGTTGATGAAATCTCTCTTGAAATTATCTGGCTCAAACTTAGCTCTCTTATTTCTCCTCTCCTTCATAATCTTTTAACTGATTCTTCTAGAATGATATTCATCATCTTCAATCTTGTGATGGTCAAGTACCTAGTCTTTAAGTGGGACATGAGTGATGCCGAATTCAGAGTCATATCTCACTTGACTCATTCTCCATTGCCTGAATCTGTCAAAGTCATCATAGAATGCTTCTTGCTTAAAGGCTTCGAACTCTTGGAACTCAAAGATTTATCTGAAAATAAATTGACTTGGGGCTTATCTTCTGTCTGTGAACCTTGATCCATCTTAAATTTAAGTGGGCTTTGGCTTGTTGTGCAAAAGTGCGTACTGTGCATTCTTTGGGAAATTAAGATTCTTTAATTGCTAATTTTCAATTTCAAAGTCTTGAAGATTCTTTACTTTAGTCACAAAGTAATGAGTCTTTGCAATAGTATTTCCAACCATTACTGTCTTTCTCTACTTGATTGCCTCAATTCTATGCTTTGCTATTCTAAAGTAGTACTCCAATTGCTCTTTAGTTAAGAGCTCATGTCCACTGCCATCTTCATTGATCACAAATAATCTTGGCAATAAGAAATACTTAGTAAGAGGGTTTCTATAACCACCTACATCCTCCAGCTCATAACCATTGTCAGTCTTCATCTAGTTTGATCTATGGGTGTAAGATTCAATTTCCGGAGGAAGCTGTTCATAACCTAGATAGGGATTTTGCAACTTATAAATGCCAAAATCTCCATCGATTACATACTAAAATTGATAAGTCTCATCTACAGTAAAGAGACTTGGTTTATTCATCCAGTTATTAGTAAATAAGTTAGCATGGTAAGCTCCAAAATAATTGAAACTACCTAGCCTGCTATAGAATGCTTTCAAGTAGTCAAAATCTTATCCCATTGCTCTTTTTCCATTAGCCTCATTATATGCACTTCTAGCATTAGAAGACATAATGTCTACATTTCCTTAAGAATCAACAGAAATCACTGAGTAGTCTGGTCTCTTGAGAAGATGTCTCACAACTATTGATTAGGAAAAGACATTAGTGTCATGGAAAGTCTCAACTATGGTACCATCTGGTAGATGTGTCTCCATTAAGTAACCTTTTACGATTCTATCAAGGGAGTTAAACATCTCCATCCTTGAAGCACCTTCATTTAAAACTCTCATCTCAGTCAAATCCTTATTAGCATCTCTTCTGGCAATAACAGGTGCGAATCCTTCTTTCTCAATTCTAATCTCTTTACCCTCTTTATCAGTTTTCATTAGGGTTCCATCTGAGTGTTGGCAGTAAAGCGACCCATCTGCAAATTATATAGTCATAACCTTGTCTTCTCTGATCATCATTCTTGCATTTGAAACTGCATCAGTTTCAGTTGCACATGGAATTGGATCAATGTCCCAGCTTATTCCAGCTTTCTTTGCAACTCTTCTGCCCTTATTGTTAGTTAAGGTCCACATCATCTCTTTTTTGCTGAAGAATGCAGTTTCACCGTTTGGAAAGAGAACCTCAGCATCTCTATTTCTGAAATGTCTGACTACAACTCCTGACTTAGCAATAATAACTCTATCTTTTTCTTCGATTGATTGATTGAATATTTGGTCCTCAGTCTGTTGAACAATATCTCCATTACAGAGGAACTTCACGAGCAATCCATTTTAGAGTGTAATTGTAATTTAAGCGAATGGATCTTCAGAGTGCAGGAATTCAGAAGTGAATTAGCTGTCTAAGAAATCTAGAGGCTCTGGTTCCCAAGTTGGCTCTGGCTCCTTATATTCCTCGATTACGGGTGGTGGAGCTCCTTTTCCTTTGTTTTTAGCTGCTGCTGCTTGAGCTTATTTAATTGCCTCTTCTCTAGCAGCAATTTCTTCTGCAGTGGGTTTTGGAGGGTCGATTCTAATCAATTTTTATGGATTTCTCTCATACTTTACGGCCTCAACTAAAAGCTTAGTGTCATTTTCAAAGTTCATCCAAAACTCTACTCCCCCTTGTCTTTTAATAGTATATAACCCGTATTCCTTTTCTTCTTCCTCTTAAACTGGTTCTTCAGGTTTTGATTGTCTTAATCCAAAGCTAAGATTGTCCTTGAAAACAACCGACTTCTTATTTGTATGACCACTTGCTGTAAACGTGTCTACCTTCATTGTTGAGCCATCCTTTGGATAATACAATTGACTGTTCTCCTGAATATTCTAAATTCTTTAGTCATCAACATCTAGCATTTAATCCGGAATCATCTCCTCGTCTATTTAATACTTAAGATTTGCAGTACTATCCTTTGCATTTTAGGAAATTGGGACAACTAAATCCTCAGAAAAGAATTTCACCCAGTTCTCAAAATCTGGCATAACTCTATATGCTGCTCTCCAATTTCTTTGATTATCTGGTTCATCAGTATTGCCAGAAGTGTTTTTAATTTTGTTATAGAGTGCTAAAAGCAGTTTATCGCTTCTTGGATAATACATTGATGAAATATCAGGTTCCTTGAGTAATGCTTCAGCCAAGACTTATCTCAAAATTTCTGGATGCATGTGTTATTCGAAGCTTCTTTCGAATGCTTTGTATTTAGTATGCTTATTTTCAAAAGATTAACCTTCATCAATTTAGTTGGCCTTCATCATTTCCTAGAATGTTCTGAGAATTAATGCTCTCTCAGCATCTTCAACTGGCAAAGTACTGAAAGGATAGAGCTATGGCATTTCAGCCTTTCTAATTCTCTCAGATTTAGAAGGAACTTAAGGCATTAGATGTCTATTCAAGCCTGGTAGAACTAGATTATTGTATAATTTCTTCTCTCTGATACAAATATCTTCTGCCTTTTCCTCTTCATTGTAAGAGACTTGCTTAGGAAGTTTAAATAGAGGCTACTTGCTCTTATCGCTCTCCTCGTGATATTCTACATCACCAATTATAGTATTTTACGAGGCAAATGCTTGAGTTCCCTACTTGCGTTATCTGTAATTTGAAAGGGATGCAGTATCATTGTCTCTTCTATCAGTCATATTGGTTTGAGGTCTCTTTACAATCTTTAAATCATATTCAAGTTCAGTCTTAAAGTTATCAAAAAGATCATCAATTGTTTCTGCTTCAGTTGAACCATCATTCTCGTCTTCTTGGGTTAAGTTAGTTTAAAGTTGAGTCTCTCCGTTTGCAATTTATGATACCATTGCAGACATAATTGCTGATATACAGTTCTAAGACTCTTTATTTGATACAAAGTCTCTTTTATAGATGTTGTTATTGAAGAAATTTTATGGCCTTACATCATCCAAACTGACTTTGAGATTTTATCTTAACTCTTAGATTTTTCTTTTTCTATCTTCCTCTTCTTAAGCTCTTAGTTACTTCTCTGCTTCTAAATCTTACTTTCTCTGCTCTTTCATAGTTGAGTCATCTTGATTGCCCTCATTAAGTGACTTTTGACTTTGATTTAAGTTTAGTTGATGTTCGGACTCTTGAAGCCATATTTGATATTCTTCCTGCTATTCTTTCAGATGTTCAATCATAGTCAATGCTTCTTTATCTGGCATGAGAGGAATCAAAGGTACTCTCTCTCTAAATTTTTAGTACTTAGAGAGTAGAATACCATAGTATTCCAATTTGATAGAAAGTTAATGAACAAGTTAAATCTCTGGCTCCTTCTTGTCTTCAACTTCTTCTCCTGACTCGTTAGTTCTCGTAGTCACTTAGGGCACATTAATGAAATCAAATTCACTAATGTACAAAAATCTTAGTGGGGAATTTCTAGCTGAAGCAGCTCTTGCCTCAATTAGCTAGTTAAGTCTTTCGGTGAACTTAACATGCATATCATAGTCTGAACTATCAGCTATATTTTAAGGTTTTTGCTCCTAAGTAGATAATTCTTCCTCCTCTTCTTCAGTTTCAGCTTCCTTCATGACTTGTTTCACATCAATAACACAGTTGATTGTGAAATTATACTTAGCCATAGCAAGTGCCTCAGCTTTATTGATTGGGTAATCAATGAAATTGTAGATCTAGTCTAGCTGCTCAAGGTCTTATTCAAGTGCTTTGACATCGACAGTTTGCTGTTACAATTTAGCCTCTTCCTCTAATTTTTGAATTCTCTCTTTCTTAGCTCTTCTTGCAGCAACTGAAAGCTCAAATACTTTGTCACAAGCTGCTTTAGCAAGTTGCTCTGCTTCAGTCATTTTGACTCTTGGGTCATCTGGTGGAAGAGTTGCTAGGACATTAGGTTCTACTATGATTTGTCTAGTCTTAGCATATGCAATAAGCTCTTCTCTTGTTATTAGTTTGATCTTCTAATCTAAGGGAAGCTTTTCAATTAAAGCTTTTTATAACTTGTCTCTCGTTTATGTTGAAAATAGGGTTCTTAGCAAGATTGTAGAGTTGACAGTATTTACTGGCGGTAGTGTGTGAACATCGGTATAGTCTTCTAGATCATCCTTTCCCTTTTTCCCAGGGGCTGGCTTAGGGGGCATCTTTCTTATTTAAATAAAATTATATTTCCTATCATATCTAGCATTTGACTATCTTAGATCTTCGGGGTTTTGGGGTTTTGGGGTTTTGGGG